GATCCACGTTCATCCCCCTGCTCAATGTTTTCTTTCTCACTGAAGAGGTCGGCTTGAGGTTAAGCTGTGCTTTATTCTTTTCACACACACTCTCCAGGCATTATAATAGAGTCTGCAACAGAGGTCAGGAAATATAACACACCTATAGATTCCTGTAGCCCATCGTCTGCTGTGAAACCATCTTTTTCAACCTTTTACAAGAAAGTTCAGGTGTGTTAGAACTGTTACTGTGTGATAATGTCCCCTGTCCTTACACTGTTCCCTTTTATGGCCTTTGATAGGTGTGTGTGAGCAGAATGATGGGAAATGGAGAGCTCTAACACAGAAGGATCAATGGGGAAGCTCGGTAAAGAGGTTCTGCCGTGTGGTGCGGCTAGACGATATTAGAACACAATTGTGCGTGGGCTCTTTTGGCTCGTCTCTGGAGGGAAAACGTAAAGCCTACATCAGTCAGATGCAGCAAAACAGCGTGCACAGCGTACACAGCTACAAAAAGCAACAATGGCACCCACAAAAAAGACCAATGGCAGAAAAAATGAAAGATGCGTTTATTGAAATATTTCAAATAATGTTTCATTCGATTTCAGTACAGTTGCGATGGCTATTAGAGAGTTCTTTCAGTGAGGCATTCTTTCTCTTTTGTCTTTGTCTTTATTTCTGGATTATCTACTTAAAAACAAGTATTATGGTTCACCATGATTTAGTGTGCAATTGGTCATTAATGATATTGATAGATTTGTATGACATGGTGCTTAAATAATATACCATGTTAATGGGTCAATGATATTGTAGTGCTATTTTAGTAATAATTGTTGGTAAAGTTTAGTAATTTTGTTGCGTGTTTGTCAATTTTAGTATTATATATACGTATATATATATATATATATATATATATATATATAATATATATACATTGATTATTCATTTTTGTAATATATTTATTTTATTTCAATTAATATTTATTTTACTTCAAGTAACAATTTTTTAGTGGTTTTATTTATAGTTTCAGTTCTAGTGTCAGTTAGCTAAAATAACTCTGAGTCAACCTTGACCTTTCAACTTTTTGAGCTTGACACATTGATGAGGGCCTGTAGTGTTGCAGTTATTAAGCCATGAAGGCTATTCAGCAGTGAGTTTTGTTTTTGGACATTTTGTACCACCCTGACATTTTTGACTTTTATGTTAACCTTGCGATCAGGATGACCTGTCATCTATTTCTTCTAAACAAATGATTTATTTTATTTATTGCACCCTGAGGGGTTATTCATAATGAGGATTTTGTTACGGCCCATCAGGGCAGCCAGTTGCGACTCGATATACTGTATACCATATATATCATGTTCATAAGAACGACTTCAGTTAACCTCAACCCTCTAGTTATCTCATTACGCTATACTCTGCGGAGAGTTCATATTACAGGCTAACATCACATTTTTTTGAACTAGCAGAGCTATTTTGATCCCTGCATGGCACAGGTTCAGTCATTTGCACCTCAACACCTGTATCAAATCCCACTGCATTTTCAACAAATATAGCAAACGATTTTATTTATTGGACTATTTATTATCGACCACTCACTTGCAGCTCATAACAGGCCACGTAGAACCCATTTACTGTGAATAATTCTTTGAATCAGTCTGCTTTACAATAATCCCCTTCATTTGTAAGTAATAATCCAAATAATAAAAATCCAAGTAGGGAAGTGTGCAATTTTTTGAGTCAAAATAGACAGCAGCGGCCCTGCAGCTAAATGCCTAAGCAGATAAACAACACCGGTTATGTAAATATGTCTGTCTCCAAGACAAGCTGAACATAAATAAGAGTAAAGCAGTTATTTTAATAAGTTGGCTAGAGCTGTGGCACAGCAGTTAGCACACACATGCTCCTGAAGTTGTCAATAAATGCATTAGAAGTCATCAATATTGTCAGGTTGTTAATGTTGCTTGTACTACAGCTTTCACCACGTCAGTGAAAGTTAAACTGCTGTCATGTTCTCTGGCAGCTTTCTAAGCTTCAACACAACTAGTACATCCCCAGTTCTTCATTGCCTGATGTATTATGGTTTCATTTAAATTGATAACGCGGATAGCAACTGGTGGTTATTTGCTTCTAACTATAGAAAGGTGAGTGGCTTATGTGAAGTAAGGGATTATATCAAATTACAGAATCTTATTTGACACCTTGGCACGTCCCAGAGAACTCGAGAAATGATTAGCACCATATTTGGTTTTGCGGGATGACAAGTCCTGAGACTTTATGTTTGAAAATATACACTCTTAAAAGGATAGTTCACCCATATCAAGCCAAACTCATATAACTTTGTTTCTTCTATAAAAACCAATTAAGGAATGTCCTGGCCACTGTTGTAAATAGAATAGAAGTGGAGGATCACTCAGGCTGTCATGTTACAAAAATGACAATGACATGCCCGCATGGCTGCCTCTGGAACAGGCCCTCTCAACTTTATTGTTGACTTAAAGAATGATGGTGGAGCAGAATGAATGCAGAAGTGTACAAAAGCATGACTACCAATGTTCAAGAAAATGCCACAAGACTCATCAGAAAGTGCTTCATATTGCAACAGGACAATGCCCCAAAACACCCTGCTAGCTCAGTCAAGGAGACCAAAAAATGGAAGGTCTTAGATTGCCCAAGTCAGTCTCCAGATTTAAATCCCATTGAACATGAATTTCACCAGCTAAAGAGGAGACTAAAAGCAGAAGCTCCCCAAAACAAGCAACAGTTGAAATTGGCTGTATTAAAGGTTGGGAAAAGCATTTCAATGGATGAAACCAAGAGTCTGGTGATGTCTATGGGTGGTAGACTCACTGCTGTGATTGCATGCAAGGGATTTACAACTAAATATTAGCTTTTAAACTTTTACATTTGCTTTAAGTTCAACTGTCCCAATACTTATGCTCACATCAGGTTAGGGAATGAAACTCTAAAAGGTGCTGTCCTTTTTATTTGGTAAAACATGAATGTGTTGAAACAGCTAATAATAAAATGTGACATTCTGTGGTTTTGTCTTATATTCATCTTTTAATCATATTTGCAGATGTCTTGACTACACAGCAGACAAACCAATTTTGTTATTACTGTTCCAATACTTATGGAGGGCACTGTATATATTTCTTCAAAACGGCAAGCAAAGAATGGGCTTCAAGTTTGTTTTTGTAGCGCTGGCGCTCAACTTGTAAATATATAATATAATCTTTCCGTCAAGACATGAAAACACACTAATACAAAAGATTTGTAAAAAGGAATAAACCAAATTTAAGTTAAACTTAGACTTAACCTCCTGAGACCCTGTGACCTCATATGAGGACATTATATTTTGGGGTATTTCTCTGAGACTATACATGCCACAGTTTTAAGTCTGGATGTCCTGTGCAAGGCACATTCAGGGCTTTTCAGAGATACTAAATGTTTGGATGTTTCACTATGACCACTCCCTCTCCTTGGTCTTCAAATATGTCTGATATTAATTTAGTGACACTCTTATGGAAATATGATACTATTTTGTAATTATCATTTAAATCTGTCTAATTTTTAAACTGTCTGTCATAAATCAACATCTCAGGAAAATGTTATGGGGTTTCAAATCAAAATATGACTTTCTGTTACGAAACAGGATGTTGATTTCATACATGTCCTCGTATGGTTTCACGTTTCAATATTCTATGAAATATTATATATTATTATGAAAATCTTGTCAAATATTACTCCCATTATTACACTTCTTTTTTCATTACATGTTGCTCCAAAAACACGTTAATATGCAAATTAGATTTAGTTTATAGATACATTGTATATAATGAGAAAACCCGTTTATGGCCATTTTGCAGAAAGAAAAATGGTATGTCAAATCATTCTGTTATAACATCATCATCTTTATACAAAGTTTGGTAAAAAAATAAATAAATCGTGAAAACTAAAAATGTATTGGTGATTTAAAAAATCTATTGTTTTTGCCTATGCATGTTCATTCATGTCTTTTTTATTTTTTTTTATTGAGTTATGAATAGCATAACTTATGAATGAAATATCATTTTTTACATGACTTTCTGTTACGAAACAGGATGTTGATTTCATACATGTCCTCGTATGGTTTCACGTTTCAATATTCTATGAAATATTATATATTATTATGAAAATCTTGTCAAATATTACTCCCATTATTACACTTCTTTTTTCATTACATGTTGCTCCAAAAACACGTTAATATGCAAATTAGATTTAGTTTATAGATACATTGTATATAATGAGAAAACCCGTTTATGGCCATTTTGCAGAAAGAAAAATGGTATGTCAAATCATTCTGTTATAACATCATCATCTTTATACAAAGTTTGGTAAAAAAATAAATAAATCGTGAAAACTAAAAATGTATTGGTGATTTAAAAAATCTATTGTTTTTGCCTATGCATGTTCATTCATGTCTTTTTAATTTTTTTTTATTGAGTTATGAATAGCATAACTTATGAATGAAATATCATTTTTTACATTTTTTTTTATGCTCTAAACAATGTAAAGACATGAAAAAAACTTTTTTTTCCTAAAAATCTTTTCTCGGGTCTTAAGAGGTTAATAACTTTCCTTGGCATATTCAAAATTTGCACTTTTGTTGGATGAACTTACCATAAAATTATGCAATAATCAGATAAGATGCTACTCTGAACTTGTTCTGGTTCTTCCATGCCTGGTGTTTGAAATGCACAGTTTCCTTTGCAAAGTCCACAGTTAAGAACAAAGAGCGGGAGAAGCCGCGACTGCGCAGTGCTCTAGGGATGGGAATTCGGTCTCTGGTGAAAATTACCACAATGGCTCATCCATCCATATCTATGTTATGCATAAAAAAACTAAATTTCTATGGAAGGAATGTATCACTAGAATTCAGACAGCGCTACAATTCCTCACACATTGTGGGCATTCTGGGTGCTTTGGGACCTGTACATCTCAGTGCAATATAATAATGTGGTCTTGTTGTTGTTTTTTAGAGTTCTTGACTCCAGAAAGATGTGGGGTGGCTATAATGATGGGGACCAGCAAGGTCATGTGAGTGCACGAATGGAGACCAGCTTACCCATGGGTACCACCAGTATTTCTGTATCCCAGCAACAGGCTCCTAAGAAGTTTGCTCCTGTTGTGGCTCCCAAGCCCAAGTTCAACCCCTATAAACAACCCGGGGATGCAACACACGAGGGAGCTGGTAAGACTTATAGCCTTGACTTTTTAATTATTAGCATTTGTACATATTTGCATATGACCGTGGTCAGACCACATGTATGGGTTTGCAAAATGTGTTTTTCCACTTGAGGATCAGAACTGGGAAACGATGATCGCCTTGGAGTCAAAATTCAGAGAAACGGTGAAGCAAATTGAATTGCACAGACTAAAATGTGGCTTTTACATGAAAACTCAAGATGCAAAACTAGCTTGAAATAGGGATTTTACTGGACCCCGACTGCAGGACACAAGGACTCTTGGTCTGCCTTGCATCATATTAAAAAGTCTCGTCTGGCTCTTTGAAGCTGTTGTCTTGCCAATTACATTTTATTTTGGAGGACAGGTGACCATCTGACCATGAAAGTCCATCACTGGTGGCCATTTATATGCTGGGTCTATCTTAGCACTTTAAAAAAGACACCTAGAAACACACACACACACTTGCACATTTAAATCAGACTGTTGGCTTTGTGGTATTTCTACTTTAACTTTCAGGACAGTGTATTATCCCCCAATATAACTGACGTGTTTGCCAGCGCTACAAAACAACAAAATATATAGACTAGTAGTTATACCTCGACTCCCAAAAGATATGAACTTATATGATCACAAACCGGTCCAAATATAGTGGAATATAGCGACCATTCATTTTTAAAGAAATATAGCACAAGCAGTCAAAAGGGCATCCAATTGCATTTTTTCATTTGATCCACAAATGGATAAAGAAAATCATTTGGAAATTTGAAAGGTGCATTTAAAAATGACCTATTAATTTATTATTTTATTCTTACACTTAACTAGCATTTTTAATATGAACTAAATAGTGATACATTTGTCTATTTTGTCAGTTTATAATATGGGTAACACTTTACAATAAAGTTCACTAGTTAATGTTAATTAATGCATTAACTATCATTAACTAACAATGACCAATACATTTTTTACAGTATTTCTTAATCTTTGTTAATGCTAATTAATACAACTATGACTGTTCGTTGTTAGTTAATATTAGCTCATAACCATTAATTAATATTAACAGATATGACTTTGGATTTTAAAAATGCATTAGTACATTTTGAAATTAATATGAACTGAGATTAATAAATGCTTTACAAGTATTTTTCATTGTTAATTCATGTTAACTAATATAGTTAACAAATGTTAACAAATGGAACCTTATTATAATGTGTCACCAAAATATGATTTATTCATTTATTATTGTCTTGTAACATTAATTAGATAAACCCCCTTTACAATCACATTTACAATCACATTTTTCACCCCCTTTACAATAATCACATTTTGTTGCTTTGCAGCCTGAAATGAAGGCGGACACAAAATGACCACAGCTGATCACAGTTAAAAGTCAAATGGTTTTGTGTGCCATTGAGAAGGTGATTAGCTACACCTGATTGAGTTTACAAGTCATTTTTAGGAGGGGGTGATCTTTTTTCCAACTCAGTGATTCTGTTTTTTTTTATTTTTCTCTGACAGGTTGGTGTTATATCTTTCACTTGGATGTTATAAGTTGCACTGAGTAAATACAGCGGGATAAAACAAAAACTGTGTACGTCCTCATTTCAGGCTGCAAAGCAACAAAATCTGATTATTGTAAAGGAGGGGGGGGGGAATCTTTTCTATACCCACTGTAAATGTTTTTCATTGTCAATTTGAAAAACAATTTGTCTTTTAACATTTTTATTTTCAAATTAATAAACTAATTCATTTTTATTTTTAAGTTAAAAATATTACTTATTTTAAGTCATGGGACATGTCTTTAGTTAATTTGATGGATTACATCTGTGGTTATTCAGTTAGGAAACCTGTGTTAATTTAACTGCTCTGCTAAAAAAATCACCCTGAGACCGTCTGGTTTAAAGCAATGAAATTCAGACATTTTTTAAAGTGTGACTTAAGGGCCCAAATGCATTTTTTCCCTCCACTGTACAATCAGATTTGGACAGTCCTCTGTTTGTTTAGTTCAGCATTAATCATAAAACCCAAGCTATGATCGTTTACATGAGAGGTTCATCAGTCTGTTGGCGGTGAATGTGTGTGAGTTGTTCATATGTAATCACCTCACACAATGGTCTAATCCCTAATCAGAACTCTGTGCTATATGTAAGAAGGTCCATGTTGGCGACATTCATGTGTGGGGCCACAGGGGTTCATTAAAAGATTAATATTATTAAATATAATTACAAATTATTATTATTATTTTTTTTTACAATTTAAGATAACTGTTTTCTTGAAACAGCTGAAAACAGTTGTTCTGCTTAAAGCTGCAGTCCGTAACTTTTTTGGGTTAAAAATGATCCGAAATCAATATTTGAACAAGTACATAACCAGCCAGTGTTCGAAACTATCGCTTTACTTTAGCCCGATTCACAATGGTCAGTTTATAATAATGTTTTCTAATTTGAGTGGTACGGGTAGGTTTTCGCGGGAAATTCGAGTATGCCGCTGCGTCATTACGTCACGTCTGTAAACATAAAGAAGTTGTCCCGGCTTCTAGGCTATCGCATGTGACTGAGGATCCTGCAGGTGGCGGATCGTTTATAGCCTTTTCTCACAGCAGCTGGAATAATTAAATGTATCATTTTGATGGCGGATTGTAATCCAGAAAGGATTATGTGTTTATGAAACACATGTGAATGTAATTAAATTATTTTCCAGTTTTAAATGTGCTTCTGATTACAGATAGCCTGGGATTAGACAAGATTTGTATTTTCAAGACAACCAGTTCGAAGGGAGCATAATTTACATTTTGGGTTAAAATAATTTCTTAATATGAAATTTGAGTGGTATGACAATTAGAGATTAGACTGTACAGACATAGAAATCGACTTGCTTATACACACTATACTCATAGTCACGCAATGCTGATGTTGTTAACATTAACAATTTGAGAATAAAGTATAACAATAATAATAATTTGCACAGTTTGATGTGATATGAACTCATTTAGATTAAATCACCATTGGTAGCACGATTTATTGTAATGTTTTTTTCCTCAGTTGGTCAGAACAAACGTAGCAGACTTGTTACTTACTTGCTCAGATGACAATATCCGGTGAAAATGCTTATTTGAGTCATATATTCCAAGATGTAGGCTAGAATCTGTGAGTGCAAAGTACAATATCCACACCGGTGCGGTGACTGACTGCCACACATACTCTTCAAAACATTAGATTCATCCGCGCTGGAGACAGAGCACAACCCACGCAAGAAAGATAATTCCACACACAGCTGCAATTCCATGTTTTCAAACAGAGATGGCAACAAAGAGGCAAAACTTACAGACTGCAGCTTTATTATCGTTATGGAAACCATGATACATTTTTCTTTGATGAATAGTTCAAAAGAACAGCATCTATATGAAATAGATTTTTTTTGTAACATTGTAAAAGCCTTTACTGTTACTTTACTGTAATGCATATGCTTTGTATTTAATCTTTTTTTTATTAATTTTCAGCAAAAATAACTATTGTGAAAATTTCCCAAAGCACACACTCTTAATTAACATGGCAAATGTTGGTGTTATGATACTGTTTGCTATGTTTTTTTGTGGTGGGGAATTTTCTTTTTGTAGTCTGGAGGATAGGATCATATGGAAGCTGTTTTACATATGTGAAGATGCATTAAAAAGACAATATGAAAATTTCAGCTTTATCAAAACCTAAATATAAGAGTTTTGCCAAAATGATGTGAAATCCTTAGAGTATATAGATGTTTTCTATCAGTAGTTTGTTAGATAAGGTTTAAAAAGTTTCAGCCAGCCGGACAAATAAACCCAACATGCCGTGAAACGCATATTTACAAGAATACTTGCAGAGTTGAATGAGTTATTGATTACTAATTACAGACACAAGGCCCTTGGGCATTACGTAAATATGGGTGAATCCACATAAATGCCCAAAAGTGGGATTTCTTTGCAGTGTCTACCCAGACAGGCATTCTTATGCTCTCTGGACATCAACCAAGTCCTAGCTAACGGCATGCCCTTTGGCAATTTGTAATTTTTTTTGAAGAGTATTATTGGGAATTTGTTTCTGCAATAAAACTACTAATTTCTTGCATTAATTGGCTGATAGCGGCTCTGTCAGATAGGGGTTTCCATGGTTACAGCGTGGGCTTTCTGGACCCTAAAAAGCTTTCTGATTAGAAATGTGAATTTAACTTAATCTCTATGGTGAATATTGTATTAATTAAGTTATTCTATTTTTAAACATTTCACAGAAAAAAAAGAAAGATAGAGGACCTTGGGGGCTTATTTTATGCTGTAACCCTGCTGCTCTTTGATGGTGTGAGAGCAACAGAGACCTGCCATTGTTTCAGATGAAAAGCAATGATGAGAATATTGGAGGGAGTTCTCACACGTCTGTCCTGGTCGAACAGGCAGCTTTGAGCTATTTGAGTTATCTGAGCTCACTTTGTCCCATGTTAGTTTTATCATACTGGAGTGAACGAAGATAAATGCAACCAACAAATGGGCACATTTGTCGTTTGCCTCTTGACATTATAATGTATATGAACATAAATTTGAACACATTGTAACTGAATAAAAACAAAATGCATTTTTATTCAGATTGACATTGCAAATGTTCAATTCTGTTCTGTATGATTTCTAAAAACTGATTGGAACCTCCGGAGCTGATTGAAACTATTCGCAGCCGCAGAGCAAGTGTCTCTCTCTCACACAAAAGTCCCTAGCAGACCACCTGTTTTTCAGTAAATGATGGAGAAAGACTAGGGGTAATTTATTTATAAATCAGACCCACACGTCATAGTTAACAAAAGTAAACTCATTTGCATTCTTTGTGGTGTTTTTATCATCAGTTTTAAAGATGATAAATGTTCACCATAAGTAAAAAACAATCATTCATATAAGTAGGAATGACTGCAGTTTAGAAGCAAAAACATCTTTACACATGTGAGAATATGTCCATAAAGTGCTGGGGAAAGTTGAAATATTTTGAATTT